TTTTCCCATTTAGGAGGTTGTATTGGGTTGACAATACAGTTTTAAACTGTGGTTTTCTTTATCCATACATTGCTATGAATAAATAAGTGAATAAAAAAAATACATAGGCCCTGCCAGAACTTGAATATTGTTTACAGTGGCATTTTTATACTTCATTTTACAATCAAGCTGTATGTAACCTGAGAACAGGTACTGACCCTTTTTCCATTCTACTGGCTAAACTCTGTGTAAGCCACTCCCTAGTCTGTATGAAATATTTGTATTTTCTTGTGCTATCCCATTCCTTTTTTGTAATGATCAGCCTTGAGCCTTTGTACCTAATGGTCATTAATCCACACTGCAGCTATAGTAATGCTGGAGTTCACACCTGCCCTAATTAGGAATGCTTAAATAGACTGCTTGACATTCAGGGTTTTGTTTGATTTTGGTCTGACTGCAGTAAGCTACAAGGAGCAGGGCCCTCCTATCCCTCTTGTATTGAACTGTATTGTCTCCCGTTATATTGTAAAGCACTGAGCAAACTGTTGGCGCTATATAAATCCTGTATAATAATAATCTGGCAGGGCAGGGGGTGGGTTGCTCAGCATGGGTGCCATTCAGAGAATAGTTTGCATTTTCTGAATGAATGAAAAGCATTTTTTGATTGGATGAAGCGGAGGGGTGGAGTGGTGACATCATGCTCTGCAACTTGTCCAGGGAATGCTTTGCATTCAGTTAGAAGCTGCAAAGCATTCTCTGAATGGTGCCCTTGCTGAACAGCTGGCCTCCTGTGTTCACAATGCAACAGAGCAGCTGCTTAACATGAGACCCAAAAACGAGTGGAGATCACTGGAGTAGCAGTGTCTACTTCAATTCTTTCCAGCTTCCAGAGGAATCTGCCAGGTATGGTATATACATAGTTACATTTGTCAAAGCTGTACCAATGTAACTATGTATAATATAGTCATGCTTGGAATTATTCTTCAAATTTCTATTTTGTATCTGTTCTGGTCATCTGCTTTAACTCTGCTGTCTGCTTAACCAGCCTGTCTGTGCACTTCACTCCTGTTAATTGTATCACATCAGCACCTATCCTGCCTGTTAGTTAGCTGTGACACCTGATAACACAATGGGTCCACCACATTCCACAACGCTTTTCCTGGGTTTCTCTATTTTGAACTTTATTAGAGGCAGAGGTAACAGAAAAAAGGCCTGTGAGGGAAATCAATACTGACCCATGTAGTGTGTCCATTATAATTCCAATCAATTTAACAAACACAATACGATATTAGTAAGAAACACAGCTTCATAAGCACTTACAGCAATATCTTACACGTATGTACTTTGCGTTACAAAATAAATGATCTGTGGAAGTGTATTTTTATTCAATCCGCATCAAAACATAACACAAACCTGGTTAATCAGAGAATAATTGGTTTTGCAGGACCTTGCCACAGTGGAGATTCAGCCAAATTTCCACACAAAAGGCACAAAAATGGATACAAACTAAAGCTAAGTTAACAAGAAGTCAGTAAATCAATATGCTTGGTGAGAAATTTAAACAAAGGAAGAGAAGATGAAAGTCCGGTTTCCAAAATACATTGCTTTGAAATCTCCAAGCAGTTATGCTACACAGTACATAAGCAAGAATCCAAAACATACACAGAAAAATCTAAATGACATGTCAGATCTAGAATAGCAACTGCACAAAGAGTTGGCCTAATAATCATGTTAAGAGCCACTGGCTGACCATAACTGTTCCCTGGTGAATGTCAAAAATGTAACAAAAAGGACACTGAAGAGGAAGCCCACCAAAACACAGTTTTCTTTTTTTCAAGTCAGTCAGTTTGATCTGTCAGTTCCATCTCAACTATTCTGCCTGCAACAGCTCCAAAAACCTCCCCGATGTGGAGAAACATACTTTATCTGTGGTACATTTATCTCGCCACAAGTTCAAAGATAACATTTCCAGTCTTCTCTGTTACCCCATCAACAGCCAAGAAACCTATTTAACATTAAAAGTGTATCTAAAACAAAACTTTCCTTGCTTGCTTTTGGAGGGGTCTTCTTTTCTTTATTGCTATTAGGGATATTTCCTTTCACTACTCTCACATCACTCAGAAGGAGCCATTCTTAAGCAGGATTCTTGTAGAGATTGCTAGGAGTTCCTTGAACAGCACTGGATCAGTCTTCCACTTGACAGTTTCTGCATCGCTATAGTACCAATTGCACGCAACAGAACCAGTGGTGTAAGACAGGTGGGTCCTCTCCTCTCGGTTCTCATGTAAGTAAATGACCACCAATGGGCATTCTTCCACTGAAGCAAGAGGCATTCTTCTCATTCAGCTTCAGTGTAATGCATGCTTCCCAGTGACCATCAATGTAAGGAGCCCTCTTCTCACAGACTAGTGCCCATCAATGTAAGGGAACTTCTTCTCACTGACTCCAAATGTAAGGGTGGTTTCTTCTTACTGTAATGGGGCACTACACTAACCATCAATATGAGGGGCATTCTTCTTACTTACCACCAAGGTAAGGAGGCATTCTTCTTATTGCATTACACTGATCACCAATGTAGCAAACAATCTTTTTTACACACCACCAGTGCAAGGGAGGTCTCATAATGACCACCTTAAGAAGAAAGCACCTCTTGCACCGACCAATGTAAGGGGAGCCTTCTCGACCGACCACCAATGTATGGGGGAGCCTTCTCCACTGACCAACAATGTAAGAGGGAGCCTTCTCCACTCCCCAACAATGTAATGGAGCCCTACATGGATCACCAATGGAGAGAGTACTTTTCCACTGACCACCATTGTAATAGGGATGACTACAGTTTTAACTTTTTTGGCCATTATGTATCATTTCTTGTTTTTATGACTATTATTGATGTCATTATATAAAGAGGGGGATGTTAAACATGGATCATTTCTGGATGTCATTTGTGCCATATTAATTTGATTACTCAAGGGTTCCTCCATGTCAAAAAGGTTAAAACCGATTCTAAAGGCATATATATATATATATATATATATATATATATATATATATAATTTTTTTAAATAACAAACATGTTATACTTACTTGCTGTGTGCAATGGTTTTGCACAGAGCAGCCAGGATCCTCCTCTTCTTGGGTCCCCTGCAGGATCTCCTGGCTCCTCCCTCCTATCGGTTGCCCCCACAGCATGCAGCTTGCTATGGGGGGGAACACACTGCTCTGCATTTCCATTCACACATGGAGCAGCGGCTTGGTCCCGCCCTCTCTCTCTTCTCAATGACTCACTTGCTGTGATTGACAGCAGAGGGAGCCAACGATTCCCACTGCTGTCTCAGCCAATGTGAACAGGATGGCCAAGACTCCAGTGCACATCGCTAGATCGAGAAGGGGCTTAGGTGAGTATTATATGGGGCTGGGGGGGATACTACACACAATAGAATGCATGAAGGTGAAAAAGTTTCAGCCTTTACAACCACTTTAAGAAAGGCTGATCAGAAGTGAGGGGAAATCCCCTCTAAGACTAGATTCACATCTCTGTGAGCCATGGTTTGCAGGGGCACAGCAGCCCGTTCATTTGAATGGGCTGCAGTGCCTCCTGAAACACAGGGAAAAGATCCCTGCAGCATTCTGTAAACGCAGCCTGCATGGGAACTGTAAGGGCAGTGCATTTCTCAGTGTGGGAGTGATTTGCAGTGCGTGCAGTGTGCCATTAACATTAATGGCACCCACACATAGCTCCTGCGTTTTTCTGTGTAGGTGGTTGTGGGAACAGGTACGTTCTCACAGCGGTAATCACCCATACAAATGCGATCCTAACCTTAGATAGTTGTCACCATTGAAAGAATTCCTCTCACCTCTTGCTTCTGGGCTTTTGATATACATTAACAATGACTATGTCAATGATGGGGAGAAGAAGGAAAAATGTTTTACTAGATCTCCATAAATAGGTGCCATATTTTGCATGATGATCAAACTCTTTCTCCATAAACATTTCTCTTTGGTCTCTAGGCCCAGATTATTCAATGCAGTTCAGTTAGTGGACACCCCCACATCCCCAAATTCTGCTAACTTCAAATCTACACAAGCCAGCTGAGATCTACGTCCTTTTAATCTTCAGTACAGGTTATGGAATTTTCAAGAAATACATTATATACCATTATTTGTCCTAACTGCAGTCTACATTTACATAAGAACTGAATGAATAGCAGGATATTGTGTTAAAGTGAATAGTGAATTACTATATACTGTATAAAAATACTATATACGGTATAAAACAAAGTCAAACCACCTACTGGTTTTTCTTCTTTCCCTGCAATGCCAAATGCAGCTAAGATGCGGCCAGGATCTGACAATTAGAATGTATGTGCCTCTTCCTTCCCTCTATTACATCATATTAGTCCATTACTGGACGATACAGCTCCCAAAGAAGAGCTAAAAAAAGTCCTATATTGAAGTATGGAGAAGAACACTTCTGATTTCTCTATCAGAAAATGCCAGGAGCAAGTAGCAGTGGCAGATTAAATGCTCTGACATCATGCTGATCTTCATACCTGTTTTAGATGAACAAAAAGTAAAGCATAAAAGCCAGAGGCAGAGGGGTCTCCAACATTTTCAGAAGCTCAGCATTGCCAGCCTACATCTTATTTCTCTTTAGAAAAGTTCCTAATGCATTATGGGAGCTCAGTTCTTAGTTCAGATCACCAGACAGGGGGTGAACAATTGAAGTTCCTGCGTGAGTTGATGGTAGTCAAAAGACATGTAGATGCCATCATTTTTCCCATTTTATAAACAAATATTGTTTAGTGGCATTTTGTGCTGAACCTAAGTTGATCAATAGCATATTGATCTCTATATCTACCAATAAATGAGTACAATCACAGTACAACTGAGTATATACACCCTTTAAAAGTTATTTTTATACAGTTAACACAAAGACCTATTTAAATATAACAAGGAGCAAAAAAACTAAACAATCATAAAAAACAGCCACAAAAAAATCTCCAGTCCCATATGAATAAATATTATTCAACTAGCACAGAGTCCACATTTTCTTGTGAGTTTGTGTCTTCCAAGTCCTCAAGGAATGGAGGTTCTAGAGCTGTATCTTCATCCTTCGGATTGTTATCAGTCAGACTGTTACAGTAATTCTGTATGGAATGATCAGTCTGATTACCGAACCTTTGATAGCGGCTGAGCTTGTGGGATTTTGCTTTGTGTGTGTATAAGTGTTCTAGTAACAGGCTCCTCCGTACAAATCTGTGTCCGCACACCGTACAAGTGAATTTCCTCTTTCGTAAGAAGGAAAAGTTACAGTTTAGCTCTATGGGATCAGCATCCTTCGACAAAAATGAAAGCTGGTTGAGCTGCAGCTGTTCAGTGTGGGTGGAGTTCTGAAGAGCCTCGTAAGGGCCAAGGTGACAGCTCTCGGTGTTCTCAATGTTTTCAAGTATGGGGCGGACTTCTCCCAGGTCATCGCTTTCTAAAATGGAGGTAGGGACCCCGAAAGGGAGAGACTGGGATACGTGAATATGCAAATGATCCCTCAATGTGCCACGAGAATCAAAATGTTCACCACAGTAGTGGCAAGAGTATGTTTTGCTGCCCGTCTTAACAAACGTTAACTCAACTTCTTCTTGCGACAGCAACGAATGCTGTGGAGATTTTACAGATTCCGTATCACAGGCTTCCTGCTTTATGGTCTTTACGGTGTTCTGAATTTCTTCTAACGATTTAACTACGGTGCCCACCTGAGCAGGGAAATGTGAACTTTGCTGTTCGGAGCCTACACCTTCAAGGCCAATCGCAAGAGACAGCTGTAGTTGCGGCTGCTCTCCTTGTGAAGCAGACCTAGTAGCCGCTGGTGGAATGTTTCTTAGGTTAAGCGTTTCCTTATTTGTTTTCTGAGCCGAGGAGATCTGAATTCCATATAAATTGGAGGACTGCATTGGTTCCGAAGGCAAAACTTGACTTGGCTCATTAGCTGATATGGAAAGGAGGTTAGCATGAAGAAATCTAACCCCTTCCTCCAATCGGAAGTGGTCCACACTTTGCTTGGGGGTTTTCCCTGTATACATGACATGCAGAAGGTAACTAAAAATGTCAGGCTGAATGTCTGTTGGCTGGATCTTTATACATTCACTGTTAAAAAAAAAAAGGAAAGTTAGCAATATGATCAATTTAAATCAAAAGTGCAGACAGATATAAAATGTACAGCTATGTGTTAACAAATCCCTATATGTACAGTACATACTCCTTAGCGATATATTTTCCCCTGGAAAAAATAACATGCCAAAAAAGCTGTGTTCAAATGCAAGTTTTATACTAACACATTACTTAAAACTCCAAAATGTTGTATAGTTTCTAAATTTTTTATTTGCCTAATTGTTTTTTTAAAACTTGTATATTTTCAGAAAAATGCTCTAAATTAAATTTTGGTGCTCACAAACATGATATAAATCCCTTTCTTTTCTTGCAAAATGTAAAAGTCAAGACTGTGTTGAGTAAATATGAGGGGCATTCAAGCCAACCTGAGACTTTTGAGTTTATATAATAAAAAACAATTGAGTACTGACCGCGATACTTTCTTTTATTTGCACTAACATACAATTTTCAGGACAAGCTTTCGGGGTATGTCCCCTTCTTCAAGGTCCAAGCAGTATAATAAAAGAACAAATTTCAAAGGAGTGGTAACTGCATTTATTTTTCAATATACGCCCCTGCTACATTTATACACTTATCTCAGTATTTTACTAATGCCTGGAAAGATTTGGTATAGAAAGATTTGTCAGTATGCCTGAACCATCCTAGGACAGCCTGCTTCACGTCATCATCGTATTCACCGTTCCCACAGAAAGATTCCTCACTTGTGCAATTTCACAACAGGTCATGTGTCCATTATCCAGGATCAGCCGTTTTACGTATTGAATGATCACAGAAATAACTGCTGTGGGTGGGAACCACCACAGTCGGGATCGTCACTGACAGATGTATAGCCATCTTTGAAATGTTTACACATTCAAATGTCTTGCCGTTTACACCATTCAGATGTCTTACATCTCATCACCGTACTGTGCTTGAAGTCTTGTGTAGATATGCGTGGGATTTACGCCTTCATTCATAAGAAACTTCGTCACCACACGCTGTTCAATGCAAGCACTAACATTGTTGTCTGCCATCTTGATTAATAATGGTCTCTGGACTGGCCTGCAACATGTGCGCCACTTATCAGTCATAGGACACACTTTCCACTTACTACTGCATGTAGCACCACCACGCTAGCATCCCTTTTTATACCTGTACATTTAAAAGTCCCGGTTTGACTTGAACGCCCCTCGTAGATACCAAAAAATTTTAACTTTAAAGGAGAAGTATCAGGAAAGAAGTACTTTGTTAGCGAGGCCCTTTCTACAGCTCCCAGCACTTGCCCCAGGAAAGCACTGGCATGAGAACTGAAGAGAAAAGTGAGGCCGACACATCTCACCTCTCTCTGCATTCCTCTTGCATATGTTTGTATGGGAGCCGTATAAAGGGCCTCACTAACAAAGTAGCCATCTACTTGCTAGCTGCAGGCAGGCTCCCCACCTTTGATGCATAACTGCCCGACTGCAGATAGCATTAAAGGGCACCTAGGAAGATGGGACACAGTACTATATGTACTGTACTTTGTCCCATTGGTACTGAATACTGTAAACAAATAATGGCAATATTTCTTCTTTAAAGGGTTAGTTCACCTTTACAGAAAATCTGCAAAAGGTGACCTAACACCGGACCCTCCTCAGCCCTCCGGTTCTCGCTGTACTTACCTCCCACAATGCTGGGCTCAGAGCTCCCACAAGCTGCTCCACTGATCTGGGGATTTGAAATCCCTGCTTTCTCTTCTCTCCATCCAGCACTGCAAGGACGGAAAAGACAGATCCTAATTGGTCAGCGCCATCCATGACCAGTGGAGTGGCTTGTGGGAGTCTTGACAGCTCAGGATCACAGAAGGCAAGTACAGCGGGAACTGGAGAGGGGAGGGGGTCCAGTGTTAAGTCACCTTTACAGATTTTCTGTAAAGGTGAACTAACACTTTAAGGGTTCGTTCACACCAGAACACGATGCAGGAAATCAGCTTTCTGTGCACATTTTGCGCACCACATTCAAAATACACTAGGTGTGCGATCTGCTACATTTGTCAATATTATCCTATAACACCCCAGACGCAGATCACAAACATGGTGCATTTGCCTGTAGTAAAATGCAAACTGGTGCAGTGCGCTTTTAAAAGTGGTGCATGCCCTACTTTTGGTGCGATCCAGTGTGATTTCAGTACATTCAAATGAATGGGTTGTAAATTGCATCGTAGTGAATCGCACAGGGACAAGGACAGCATTTCTGTGCGATTCAGGTGTGAACAGACCTTAAAACTGCATGCTCCTGCAAAACCCTAAAAAAATGTTGACGCTCAAAAATACAGTACTACAAAAACTTTTGTCAGTTTAACAGTGGTCTCCAAACTGCAGCCCAGGAGCCAGATGTGGCCATTTGCTTGCCTTTATCTGGCTCTTGGGGCACAATTCCTCCCACTGACACCAACATTGGGGCATAATTACTGTCACTGATAAAACAGTTGGGCACTATTCCTACCACTGTCCACATCAATGGGGCACTATTCTTTCCACTGACACAAATGATGGGGCACTATTCCTACCTCTGACACCAATGGAAGGGCACTATTTTTCCAACTGAACAAGAGGAGAAACTATTCCTTCCCCTGATACGGACAATGGGGCACTATTCCTCTCACTAATACCAATGATGGGGCTTCACTCCCATTGAAGACAGGGCATTTTCTACTCCCACTGACCACAGTCCAACCCCCACAAAGTCTGAAGGACAGTAAACTGGCCCTTTTATTTGGATAGTTTCGAGACCCCTGGTTTAAAACATCCATACGGGTTACTGGATTGTTGCTTACCTATGAACATCCCAGGTGCACGCAAGCAGGGGGTCCTATAAATATTTATCTATATATTTTAGTCAATTTCTTTTAGTGCCATATTATTATCACAAGGAGGCTGACAAGGATAGAATATTTTGCATGACAGGTCCTCTTTATGGATGTGAACTATGGTGTGAGCTTTACAAGTACTACTGCCTTTGGGTGTATGACTTAAGCTAGCTATAAACTGCTAGTGGTGGACAGACAGTTGCACCTTATGTATGCCATAAAATATTCACATTATAAGCACATTAAAAACAAACATCGGAACACTCAAGGCTTTTAAGACTACTTAGATCACTTAATTTCATTTTGAAGTAGCATAATTCTTTTATTTAACCCCACTTCCCACATGTTGTGGAGGAAATATAATTTAGTTCTCATGCCTGAAAACAAAATGTGATTTTAAACATAAAAGTTAGGCTGGCACCTGGATTGGTGAATGAAGATCATCCTAAAATAGTTTGAAAAAGCAGCAAGAACGGCTCTGTGTGCCTTGAAGTACACGTCCCCGATGGCGACAGTGCAATCACAGAGGAAACCAAACTCACGCTGCATGTTTAGTTGTTGCAGTAGAACCAAGCTGTGCTTCGATTGATCCATCGCTCCTGAAAAGAACAAATGTAGATATAAAACTAAACACAGTCCTAGGTATGTTAAATTGTGAATCCACATACAAAAGCACAATAAACCAATGAGACACTGTACATAATTGTCTGTGGAGTGAATATACACGTGTCTAGAGGTTTATGGAAATCCCTTTGCAATAGAGGTGAACAGAGTCCATGTTGATTGTATTTGGCTGCACATGATCAATTTTCACTTAGACCAAACACCGTGTAAACTGCAATTTCAGGGGAAAGCAATTGTTAATGCTTCTGTATACAAAGTCATTTAGACAATTCACTTGTAACATTGTGGCTATCCAACAAGCTCATATAGGTGTGATGGTTCACAAACCTCTGACCTTAACACTAGGTTCACACTGTAGCAGTTGGTAGCAGGTGCAGGAATTCCCACACCCACAAGCACCCTCAGCCAAAACAAGCTGCTCTGTAGACAAGTAGGGCTGCTATTCATTCTTAATGGCACCCCACGCATCTAAATTTGCAGCACGTTTTCAGGTGCAAGAACCACAGGATAATTCATGGTGCAAAAGAACCATGCGATTTCCCTGTGGCTACGTTTTTAAAATGGTGCAAGGGAAAATGTCACCAGCACACCGAGGATCACCAATATGGGTCCAAAAGTTTTAATGAACGATCACATAGTTACAGCAAGGCAACGTTTCGGAGTCTCGCAGGACCCCTTCATCAGGCATGTGGCTGCGTGTTTAAAGTGGTGCAGGCACCTTTTTTTGTGGGAAACGCAGACACAGCAGCCCATTCAACTGAATGCACTGCCGTGCCAATGCAAATGTGTGCCACAAACCTGCTGCAGTATGAACCTAGCCTAAAATTTATATGCAGAGTACTGGCAGAAGAACCATCTCACCGGAGAGACAAGTATAAGGCCTCATGCACATTGGGCATTTGCCCAGTTCTTCTAAACTCCTTTCCCATAGCAGAAGAAAAGTCGCGTTTATGCACTTGCGTGTTTATTCATTTCATTGATTAGAATTAGGGATGCACCGAAATTTCGGTGGCCGAAAAGTTTTGGCAGAAAACACCCCTTTTCGGCCGATATGAAAAAAAAAAAAAGCACCGATACAGATGCCGAAAAAAAAACCCGCCCCTCACCGCCGCCACTCAGTAGTTCTCAGCCTTACCTGAGAAACCATCGAACGATCCCAGCGCTGGACATGAAGATTAGTGAAGGAAAGGTGGCCTCCACTCATCTCTATGCCCTTGGAGGACCGAAGCGATGTCACTTCCGGTTCTGGCCATTTTTTTAAAGCACTAGATCAATGCTTTTTTTTGATCCAATGCTTTACATTGCAGAGGAGAGATGTGGGGTCTTATTGACCCCATATCTCTCCATAAAGAGGACCTGTCACTAATTATTTCTATCATAAGGGATGCATGCATTTCTTGTGATAAGAATAAAAGTGAATAAAAGTTTTGTTAAAAAGGGACAGTGCAAAAAAAAAAAAAAAAAAAAGAACCCCAAAAAACATTAAATTAAAAAAAAAAGTTTAAAGTGTCTCCGAATGCATACGTAGACCATGCCCACATATGTCAGAGGAAGAGCAGTAATTCTCGCACTAGACCTCCTCTTTAACTTTACACTGCTAACCTGTAGAAATTTTTAAAGCATCACCGATGGAGATTTTTAAGTACTGCAGTTTCACGCCATTCCATGAGCGTGTGCAATTTTAAAGCGTGACATGTTGGGTATGTATTTACTTGCTGTAACATCCTCCTTCATATTTTACAAAAAAATGGGGGTATATATTGTTTTTTTTAATCAAAGTGTATTTTTTCCAAAAAATATATATTTATTTTTGAAAACTGCGCATTTCGGTTTTCAGTCAAGTGCATTTTGAATTTTCAGTTTCGGAACCAGAATTTTCATTTCAGTGTCAGAATATTAATTTATTCTGGCCATTGAAGGAACGCTTACGTATGTTTTGGAGTGTCTACATGTGTTTAGGCATGTCGGGTGTTTTTTTCTGCCAAAAACTACCCCCTGAAGTGAATGAGCTGCCCTATGCGCAACAAGTGGAACCGCGTGTAAACTGCATTTAAAATATCGTGAGCGGGAACTCTCTTTTCTGCTATGCAAGATGTGAATGGGGCCAAAAAATACTGAGCTTTAGACAGCAGTGTTGCAAGAAGCCTACAGTTAAATTGACATACGTGTATGCTCAAGTATTAGGTACAGCCGCTGTACCTGTGAGAAAAACCCAAAGAAAGAAATCCCTGAACTGCAGAATCCCACAGAAACGCATGGAGCTGCAACGCCATGCCATTCTGACCGCACACAAAACACACAGAAGCGCTAATGTGTGGGGTTGCTGTTAAGAATTAAGGCTCTCCGTGTCTGCTAACCTGCATTAGTGTGAACTTATCCTGACTGTTTTGATCACCAGGAAGTGAGGCAATTCCAATAATTTGGGTTGTCATCAGAACAGGAAAAAAAAAAAAAAAAAAAAGGATGTCTTCTAATGGGTACACCAGTTCCCATGACAACGGGTTACAGGTAGGGATGCACCGATACCGATACTGGTGCTGATACAAAGTGTTTTCAGGATTACTCGTGAAAATACTCCTGATACTTTGCGGTGAGATTTGCGTCAATGGACGCAAATTGTGCTACAAAGATTAGCATGCAATTTGAACAGGAATGTGATTCCTGTCCAAATCGTATGCAATCTCCTGTGTGACCCCAGGATTGTCATAGCCCGAGTTCACACAGGAGTGGTGTGGGAAGCCTCCCTGCTGAGTCTCTGTGGTAGGAGAGAAAGTGGCAGGGATTTGAAATCCCTGCCACTTTCTTTTCTTTCCTTGCAGTGATGACATATTGGGATAAAGGACTTTTTGATTGGTCAGCACCGTCACATGACACTGCTGACCAATTAGATGCCTTCTAGCCCAAACTGTCAAGCCTGGGTTGACACAGGAGTAGCGGGGAAACCGCATGTAATTTGGACAGGAATCACATTCCTTTTCAAATCGCATGCTCTTCTTTGCAGTGTAGTTTGCGTCCATTAACCGCTTTCCCACTGCCCTATAGCAGATATACTGCTACAGGGCCGCAGGGGTGTGCAAAATCACAAATATATATATATATACGTAATTTGGCATTTCTGGGTAGGGGATGTGTGCACTTTCCGCACCACAATTCGCGGCCTCAGCTGTCAATCACCGACTGCCGGCTGGTGATCGCGGAGTATTACCAATGGAGGGAGAGAACTATATGTAAACAATACAGATCTTTACCATCAGCTCCTGCTGAACACAAGACACAGCCCACAGTTAGCCCTTTGATCACCCCACGTTAACCCCTTCCAGCCCGGTACCATTAGTACAGTGTCAGTGCTTCTTATTACCACTGATCACTGTATTGATATCACTGCGGATGTCAGTGGTAGTTCTCACCCAGTGTCAGGATGCCCACCGCAGTCACTGATCATTACCATTACTAGTAAAAATGAAAAAAAAACCAATATATAGACCGCTATTTGTAGACTCTATAACTTTCACGTAAACCAATTAATTAAAAAGTATTGGGATTTTTTTTTTTTTTTTTTTTTAGAAAAGACATGCAGCAGAACACATTTCTCCTAGATTGTAAGCTCGAAAGAGCAGGGCCCTTGAACCCCTCATGTTTTGTTTCTGTATTGTCTCATGTTCTGTCCCCCACTCTAATGTACAGCGCTGAGCAAACCTTTTAGCGCTATATAAATACTGTATAATAATAATTTTGTCCTAAATTTAAGCCAAAATTTATTTTAATTTTCTTTACAGTAAAAAGTCAAAAATATTGTTTCTCAAAATTGTCAGTCGTTATTTTTTTCTAGCGGCGAGTGCTTGACTGGAAGGATCGGCACGGGAGAGTACGTGACTGGAGGGGTCGGCACGGGAGAGTACGGGACTGGAGGGATCGGTACGTAATTGGAGGGATCGGCACGGGGGGAGTACGTGACTGCAGGCGTCGGCGCGGGGGGAGTACGTGACTGCAGGCGTCGGCGCGGGGGGAGTACGTGACCGCAGGCGTCGGTACGGGGGAGTACGTGACCGCAGGCGTCGGTACGGGGGAGTACGTGACCGCAGGCGTCGGTACGGGGGAGTACGTGACCGCAGGCGTCGGTACGGGGGAGTACGTGACCGCAGGCGTCGGTACGGGGGGGAGTACGTGACCGCAGGCGTCGGTACGGGGGGGGAGTACGTGACCGCAGGCGTCGGCACGGGGGGAGTACGGGACCGGAGGGGTCGGCACGGGGGGAGTGCGGGACTGCAGGCGTCGGCACGGGGGAGTACGGGACTGCAGGCGTCGGTACGGGGGGAGTACGTGACCGCAGGCGTCGGTACGGGGGGAGTACGTGACCGCAGGCGTCGGTACGGGGGAGTACGTGACCGCAGGCGTCGGTACGGGGGAGTACGTGACCGCAGGCGTCGGTACGGGGGAGTACGTGACCGCAGGCGTCGGTACGGGGGAGTACGTGACCGCAGGCGTCGGTACGGGGGAGTACGTGACCGCAGGCGTCGGTACGGGGGAGTACGTGACCGCAGGCGTCGGTACGGGGGAGTACGTGACCGCAGGCGTCGGTACGGGGGAGTACGTGACCGCAGGCGTCGGTACGGGGGAGTACGTGACCGCAGGCGTCGGTACGGGGGAGTACGTGACCGCAGGCATCGGCACGGGGGGAGTACGGGACCGGAGGGGTCGGCACGGGGGGAGTACGGGACTGCAGGCGTCGGTACGGGGGAGTACGGGACTGCAGGCGTCGGTACGGGGGGAGTACGTGACTGCAGGCGTCGGTACGGGGGAGTACTTGACTAGAAGTATCAGCATTCGCACTCACTGATAAAAAAAAGCAATATCAGAGCATCCCTAGCCCTGGGGGTTCCCTCACATTGGACAGACATCCTCTCACTTCCTGCTGAGTCTACTGGACAAGATGTGAAGAGAAATCTCCCCCAGACACAGAACCCACCAGC